TCTTGGTATAGCATGAATGGCAGCACCTTGCAAAATATTTTATCACCTATTTCTTTGGAAGAAATTGACAAAATAGTTAAAATTAACCAAGAAGAACTATTAAAAAGTTGTCAAACCATTCACCAAGTCATTCAAGAAGAAATTGAAATTGGAATTCCCCCATGGAATATTTTTCTGGTTGGCTATTCTCAAGGAGGTTCAACTCTCTAGCTGCTGAATTAACTTTCCCTCAAGCTTTAGGTGGGTAATTTGTTTATCAGGTATTTTGCCTTTGTATCAAAGTGCCTGTCAGCAGAAAATAAAAAGCCAAAAACATCTGTGCTAATCTGCCATGGTGAAAAGGACAAACTAGTTCCTCTTTGAATTAGTCAAACCAGCGTAGAAATTTTAATAGACAATGATTATTTAGTTGAATTTAAAATTTATCCTCGAACTAGACACTGGTTAGGTAAACAGGGAATTTATGATTTGAGGGAATATTTACGAGAAAAGCTCTATCAATATAACTCTATCAAAAATGAGGTTGCTCTCCAAATGTCTTTCCAAAACAAGATAAATTTAGAAGCTAATAAGTTAACTGCAAAAAGCACATTATTCAGAAACAAAGCCAAGATATGAAAAACTATAAAAGAATAAGTTGATAGGTAAAAACACCAATCAAGTAAATGAAAATGATAAATGAAAACATGTATTAAAGGGCGCTGTTGTTTCACTTAAACAATATTAATACAATCGATTTATTTTCATAAAAAGCAAGATAAACAATTATAGTTTAAATAAATAGTCGAACCTACTGTAATACTGACAAAAGTTCTTCAAAAATACATCTCCAACTAGACATGCTCTTCTTGTTAGTTGACTTATTTTAAATAATTAAAAACTCAATCTACTATTTTTTTCATATCAACTAAGAATTCTTTTTTTGTTGGTAATCTTTTATTAATACTTCAATATAAATCTTAAAAGAAATAAACAATACTTCTGATATTCTCATTATATTCTTGTTTTTGAATTGAATGTTGTCACAATAATTTCTTGCAATAGATCAATTCAATTATCCAGAAATTAAAGAAACTCTCAAGCGCATGTTTTAGTTGTGATACACAAACAACTTAAATAAATTATCTACAAGCGTTTTTTAAAAATGTCTTCAATTTCACATTATCCTATAGAAAACATTTATAAAAGTTGCATATCAAACCAAAGATCTTTGAAAGAATACTGTACCTGTAAAAAACTTTTATTGTTCTACCTGTGGCAAACAATTTATATGTAGCATTTCGTGAAAGATTAATTTTTACTGTGCTTGCTTGAAGTTAAAAAGAAACTTGATTTATTTTGCAAACTAAAAAATCCATAATTATAGTATCTGCTATGATGGATATCTACATATTAATGTTAATGCTAGCATAACTTTTGTAATGCCGGTACAATTATCATGTGACAATGCATTATTACAGTTTCATAATTTTGTGTAATACAAAACGTTGGTCAACATTAGTAATGTTGGTCAAAGTTAGAGGTTAACGTTGGTCAAGGTTAGAGATTAAAGTTGGTCAACAATGAGGTTAATGTTGGTCAGCATTAGAGGTTAGCTTTGGTCAAGATTAGAGGTTAATGTTGGTCAAGATTAGAGGTTAA